CCGAGAAGGTGGGCGGGGCGAGAGGCGGAGTCAGCCCCAGCCCGATATAAGGGGGGCCCTGGAGGGACTCGGGGTTCTTATGGTTGGAGGGGCAGGAGATCCACGTCAAGCTTGAAGAAGCCTCCAGCCACGCGGTCCGGGACCCAGCTTGTGGTCCAGACCGGGATAGTGGAACCGTGTTTAGTTCTGCCGTAGCATGGTTAGTTGGGTGGTCACCACCCAAGAGTATGTTGTGTTAATAACCTGGAGTATGTTGTGTTAATAGCCTGGAGTACGTTGTGCTAAGAGTTTAATAAAAAACGTGTTGCTCCCAAGACAACGTCTGCAACTCAGTTGGACTCATGACACAAGCAACCATCATCAGGTACGAATGAATGAGAAAGCAAACCTAGTAAACTTAGAAATATAATGCAATACAACACAGTCGGCTAACATAACAGTCAACACCCTACCTGGTTGATTAACGTTCTTCCAATGAATGCAAAATTTGGAGAGAGACAAAACACAGGCACGGAGACAGACAGACACAAGTAGAGAGAGAACACACAGAGGGATACACACATAGACACACAGAAAGGCCACCTCTGTGTCGTGGCCTTAAATATAGAGAGGGGGGTGGGGCAGAGGGGGGGGGGGTAGAAAATAATGACAGTTGTGTGGAAGTCCTGCCCATAGTGGGTGGAGGAGTGACACTGGACTTCTAAACAAACAAGCACATAGCAGGCGGATGACCCTGGACAATAGACTTACAAACAAGCACAGAGAAACGTAATCAACCAGGATATGCGTTAACTGTGTGTTAACCGACTCTCTTGTTGCATTGCATTACACTTCCTAATTTTACTAAATTAGCTTTCTCCGTGTTTTCTACCCCAACCCCCCCCCCCCCCCTCTCTATTTAAGGCCGCGACACAGAGGCATTGTCTTTCTGTGTGTCTATGTGCGTGTCCCTATCTGTCTGTGTTATCTCTCTGCATGTGTCTGTGTCTCCGTGTCTGTGTTTTGTCTCTGTCTCAAATGTTGCATTCTTTGGAAGAACGTTAATCAACCAGGTAGGGTGTTGACTTATGTTAGCCGACTCTGTGTTGTATTGCATTATATTTCTAAGTTTACTCAGTTTGTTTTCTCATTTATTCGTAATTGATGATGGTTGCTTGTGTTGCAATCAAAACTTCGTACTATATTATTTCATCGATTTATTTCTACGTGACTTTACCGAAAGAACCAAAGAGTAATTCATGCAGTCACCAAAGCTTCGAATCTAATCAGATTGATTTCATCCGCAATACACTCGGACTGTCTCATGGTCAGCCTCATGGCAAAGACTCCTCTAGTTCTGGATAGGTTTGCCCCAATTTCTTCAGCCCTCTTGCAACTTGCTTCTGGGATGAATTGGACCACCTGTGATTTGGATCCCTGCCCATCATGCCTCCTAAAGGAGTCATTTGAGACAGTAGCCCCAATACTTACTTAAATCATAAATTCCTCCCATTCGAATGGCGAGGTCCCTGTGTCCCTTAAAAAGGCACTAGTGCGATCACTTCTTAAGAAGCCGGGACTGGATGTTGATGTATTATCAAACTATCACCCAATCTCCAACCTCCCATTTCTTGAAAAGTTGTTGAAAGTGGTCTCAGCCCAGTTGGAACATTGCCTAAAATCTGGTCGTTTATTTTTTTCATATTACCCAGTCCAGCTTTCGAGCTGGTAAGAGCATAGAGACGGCCCTCATTTGTGTGGCTGATGACCTTCTTCAGTCCATGGATCAGGGACAGATATCCACCCTTGTCTTGCTTGATCTCTCAGCAGCTTTCGACACAGTTGACCATGCAGTTCTGCTACAGCGCCTGAGAACCATGGCAGGAATTGGTGGAACTGCCTTAAAGTGGATTGCCTTTTTCTTGTCAGGAGATACCACAGAGTGTCTATGGGTCCCCATTTGTCACCTGAAGGGCCTGTCCTGTTTGAGGTCCCGCAGGGGTCTGTTCTGTCACCCCTGCTTTTCAACCTATATGTTCAGCCGCTGCGGGATATTATCCGGAGGCATGGCCTATGTTGCCACCAGTATGCCGATGACACGCAGATCTATGTCTTGCTTACTGACAAACCTGGGTTGCGTGTCTCTGCATTGCCTGAATATCTGTCCGAGGTAGCAGCAACATGGCTGGATAATAATTTATTTTAAAAAGTTAAAACCTGACAAGACCGAGGTAATGATCGTTGCCTCTGATTCTCGATTCAGGCTGGGCCAGTGCAATATCTAATTTCCACTTATTAACAGGGTTCAGATTCGTGCCTTTCCCAAGGTATGCAACCTAGGGGTTCGATTTGACCGCAGCCTAAAACTGCGTGCACAGATGGCGGCTGTGGTCAAGTCTGGTTTCTTTCATCTCTGCCAACTCCATGTTTTGCGCCCTTTGTCAACTCGTGCCATTGAGTCATTAACCAATGAATTCGTATCGACTCTTCTCGACGACAGTAATGACCTTCATGAGGGGCTTCCACGTATTTTTTGAGGCCGCTTCGGTTCGTGCAAAATGTGGCAGCCCAAATTCTGCGGCGTGTAGCCCGCATTGAGCACATTATCCCCACTTTCCACGATCTGCACTGGCTTCCAGTAAGCGTTGGCATACCGTATACGTTAGCCATTCTGGTCTGTAAAGCTCTTTATGATCTGTCATGACAGATCATATACTACGCTCTTCAAAGCAGGACCGACTCTCACAGCCTCGGCTCTTGCGCTCAATGCTGGGGAGTCGGGCCTTCTCAAGTGTTGCCCCAAGGATATTAATGCCTTGCTGGCAGTGATCCGGCATCCTACAAGCATCAGTGTGTTTAGGAGGGAGTATAAGGCTCACTACTTTCTCTATGGCTTTTACTTAGACATTATTTCATTGTCTTTGCATTTTAATTTTAGTGTACATTGTTTTGATACCCCCTTCAGTAGAGGTGATATTACATTTCAAATAAATACAGTTTACGGTAGGCAGATTTACTCCGAATATTTGTCCCAGGTAGCAGATTTACTCTGCCTACCATTAGACTTACTGTAAAGTATCGCAATCGCACTTTGCCGGGCAGTGGTGGTTATGGTAGTGGCCTGTAATCCAGCACTGTGAATGCAGCAGTGAGGATTGGTGGATCACACAAATATTGTGAAACTCCCTTCCCATGGGCGTCCAAGATGTGCCATACTCTGGCTGGTCGGGAGGCAGTACAGCGAGCAAAATATTCATTATCTGTTTCCATCTGTATGGGGATTGTGTTACCTCCTCGTGTGCGTGGATGTTGTCTGGGTGCTCCGGTTTCCTCCCACATTTGTTATTAGTCATCAATTGGATGAAAACATCTTAAAATCAAACCCTATGTATGTATGTTCAACTTCTGTCGCATGGTACGTAGCCAACTATGCCAATTGTAGGTGCATGGTCCAATCAAGGAACATGGTGAAAACGAGTCATACGACTCAGTGTCGCTGTCATGAATGAGTACAATTTCAAATAACGACCTCCCTTCTTCCCTTGTGATGTACATGTCCTGCTTTATTTTCAAGTGAGCTTTGATATCATGTAAATCCACAAATGTGATACCCCTCTTGAAATTGTGTCCCGCTGAAGATCAGGACACGTCTTTACATGCCCCAATCTTAACGAATGCATCTAGGATGCGTACAGTACGTAATAAGGAAAAAAAATATTTGTACAAGTCTGATTCTACTGGAACACTCAAATCACTGAATAGAAATGGACCAAAGAAATCCTTGCTCTTACACTGCACTCTCTTAATGTTGTCAACCAAGACATTCCACGTCTCGGTAATGTCACCACTTGAGGGTAGTACGGGCCGTAACTTTGAAGCCACGAATGAAGCGGCGCATTGCTCACTACGATCAACGAGCTGGGACGGTGGAGGCTGCGGAGACCTGCAGGTTGATGAGTCACTGTTGTATCAGAGGGATCTCGTACTTATCTGCATCTTATTCGTCTGCGTTTCTCCTTCCATTGAGAGATCCACGCTGAAATTGACGATGAATGTACTTTTCTCTAGGTAACCCGTTGCTGCTGTCACATTCTCAATATGGTCAGAATATCATGAAACTAAACTGAGATATTTGGGAGAGTCTTTACATGTACAGCTCTGCATCAAGCCACTGCCCAGTGAAAACCATATTGGCTATGGAGGTTGTGACCAGACTTCAGCAATGCCGTGTAGAGGAGATTGGGGGCACAGAACCAGCTCACATCACTCAAACTGACAGTCATTGCCAATAATTGGATACCAAGGTTCATGGTGCAGTGCTGTAACCACTAAGCACTGAAATTTGGAACTGCTTCGCTACATCCATTGACAACGCATTCACAATGGATAACCCTGTGCAACTTAATTTTAGCCAAGCATTGAGTTGAAGTAAGCACACGCACACATACTGCATGTGTGCATAGTGGACGGACTGCCATACCCCTTCCGCGCTACCACACGGATCCTCTTGTGCTTTCTGAGCAGTTTACATGGGGATAAAAAATATCCCTTTTCAAGCTTGGGCATCCCCCTTTGAGTCAGCAACGTCACAGCACAGATTGGGAGTCGCTGTCACAGCAGTGCAAGAATTGTCCCTGCTACCAACACCCAGCACGTCCAGGTTGCTCTCCCAAGAGCCTCAGAGCTCCTCCTTTTCTGCTACTTGTCAACCTCCTCCTGTTACTGATCCTAGCACTTTCCACGAGCCCTGTGGCTCCACGCACACCGGCGCCGTCTCTTTGTCCTCAGTCCGTCCGTCCCCCGAGCTACCGGCTGCGTCTCCTGAAGCCTCTCTCTCTGTGCGAGATGCGGAGCAACTGCTGGGGACATGAGCCCCCCCCTCCATGGTCCATCCGGGCAACACCACTCGTGCATTTGGGTCTGTCCTTGTCGATCCCCAGTCCCCTGTCACTCTGCTGGATTCGCATCTCTCTATCAGAGACTCACACAACAACCGCTCAGTCAGGTCGTAGTCCACTACATTGTTGGTGCAACAGCCTCTCCACTTTACTCCAGCAATCTCACACATCACAGACTCCAGTGCAGCGTAGAAACATATCAGAGACCAGACTGCAAGCCCATTGCCTACAAACCCAGCATAAGACTGATAGGCAGTGCAGAATGTGACAACGCTCCACCACGTTAATAATACATATATTTACAAAACATCTGCACATTCCAAGTTAAAAGGTAAAACACCTGCAGTGACTCTCCTGGTGCAGAAACGTGGGGAAATGGGAGGATCAGGCATGGCGACTGACTGACTGCACGATGAGCCACGCGACGCGCAGGAGGAGTAAACACAGCAGGGGTGGACAGGTAGGCTTTATATCTTGCCGTCGTTCTTCGTCGAGTTTGGAAATCTCTTTCTGGGCTCACTTCACCGGAGTTTTCCCCTTCTGTGGTGCGTGGGTCCATTGGTGGATGAGCAGGTAGCCCTTGCGCGTGAATGCTTTGCTGCAGACGTGGCAGCTGTATGGCTTCTCCCCAGAGTGAATTGTCTGGTGCCTCTGCAGGTCGCCCTTCTGCACAAATGCCTTCTCGCACAGGGCGCACTTGTAAGGCTTCTCCCCCGTGTGCGTCCTCTGGTGGACCTGCAAGCATTCGGACTTCTTGAAGGCCTTGTCACACACATCGCACACGTAGGGCTTCTCGCCCGTGTGGTTCCTCAGGTGGATCAGCAGATATTTCTTCTGCGTAAACGCCATCTCGCACGTGGGGCACTTGTACGGCTTCTCGCCCGTGTGGGTCCTCACATGTCTCTGCAGATCGCCCTTTTGGACGAACGCCTTCTCGCAGAATGTGCACCTGTAGGGTCTCTCGCCCGTGTGGGTCCTCCGGTGCCTCTGCAGGTCGCCCATCTGCACAAACGCCTTGTTGCACTGCGCACACTTGTAGGGCTTCTCCCCCGTGTGCGTCCTCCTGTGGATCTGGAGGTACTCGGACTTCTTGAAGGCCTTGTCGCACACCACGCACACGTGGGGTTTCTCTGTCCGCCCGGAGTGGTTTCCCTCATGAAACTGCAGGTACTTCTTCTGCGTGAATGCCTTCTCGCACAGGAGGCACTTGAATGGCTTCTCGCCGGTGTGCGTGCGCTGGTGCACGAGGAGGTGCTCCTTGCGGGCAAACTCCTTCTCGCACACTGTGCACACGTAGGGCTTCTCGCCGGTGTGCGTCCGCTGGTGAATGAGCAGACGCTCCTTCCTGGGGAACGCCTTCTCGCACACACCGCACGCGTATGGCTTCGTGCCGCTGTGCGACCGCAGGTGCATGCGCAGGTGGCCCTTCTGCGCGAATGCCTTGCCGCACTCGGCACAGGCGTATGGCTTTTCGCCTGTGTGCGTCCTCTGGTGCACGACCAGGTACTTCTTGCGCTTGAACACCTTGTCGCAGATGGTGCAGCCGTGCAGCCTCTCCATGGCGCGGACGTCCGGCTGGCCCGGGAGGTCGGCGTTGGCGTTGTCGTCATCGCCGAGTCCCTCGGGGCGAAGGGCCACCACCGCCGTGCGCCGGTGCCACCGCTCGTGCTGGCGCAGCGATCTCTGGCGGCCAAACTCGCGGCCACACAGCAGGCAGGGGAAGTTGGCGCCGTCCACTCCGTCCTCTGCAGCGGCAAAACAAAATTAGAGGGGCGTGTGGCTCTCGGGGTTCAGCATCTGTCCGGTGCTTGATGAGCTGCATTGGCTTCTGGTTGCCGAACGACGTTATTATAACTTGCTTGCCACAAATGAACCACAATACCTTGGGATCTTTTCAAGGACCATAAACTATTATCAGGCAAGCTCGGTCATCCTCGCAGCAGCGGCTTTTCGCTAGGCATCGAACAAAGATGGTCAGTGCTATTGCGCGCTTTCGGATGCGCTTCTGCGGCCATCTGGAACACTCTTCATTCCGTAATTAGGAGGCCACTGGAGCTATGCACTTTAAAATCATCATCTAGATTGACAAACACTTTTTTTAAACTGCTTTTTGTGTTTGGTTTGTTGTTCTTCCCCTGCACCTCTGATTAGCGCAGTTGTCTATGTACAATGCGAAAAAAGTTGAACATACATACATACATACATGAACGAGGCACCGGATGCCCTAGAACAAGTAGTGACCACTCAGTGGTTCGCAATCCACGGGGTCTATGATCACAAGGGATTTTGTCATGGATCTCAGGACAAGTCAGAATGAGCACTAACATAAGCGCACAATAATCTACGTTACAGCCAATGGCAAATACAAATCTCCGACTTGGAAGTAATATATTAAACACATAATAACTTTGACCAATACATGGTGCTGGTACTTTGTCTAAACAGCCATGCTTTGTTATTCGTGAGGCATATATGTTCCGCAGATGTTTGTGAATAGCAAATTTTGCAGATGATACCATAAATAAATACATAAATACGATATTTAATACATGAAAATTATCATAATAAAACATCACTTCATCTCATCACTTTAACGCATCACATTCTCATCACTTTATCTCATCAATTTATCTCTTTCTCTCTCTCGATGCAGTTGTCGTGTCGAGTTACAGACGCGATTCACGGACAGCTAAAATTGCGGATGGTGGGTTGGTGAATAACGAGCGGAATGCCACGGTACATTATAGGGCCAAATGCATTTGGGTGATTGTTGAGTTGGGAGTTTTCTGGGTGGATCGAGGAAGAAGCCAACTGAGATCCAAACCAGAATGGATCGCAGCAGTACTCTATAACTACCTTGATGAATGTAGTTTGAATAGTTACCCCGCCCCTGTGTCTGATCCAACATGGTTCTGAGAAAGAAATGTACAATTTCAGTAGATCACCGATTATAATCTGGCGGCTTCGGGGGTGGGAAGGGGGCAAAGGTCGCCGGATTTTCAAAAACGCCAGATAATCACTACTAAGCATTTTAAAAAAGTTTATTTTTAGTTTATTATGTTTTTAGGTGTTGTTACGTTTTTTTAGTCTTTCAAATGTATGTGTTTATGTGAAATTGGCATAAACATACAAATAGACAAAAATGGATATCCTATTTTAAAAAGTTACGAAACTTACTGTACCGGACTTACAGTGAGGGAAAAAGTATTTGATCCCCTGCTGATTGTGTATGTTTGCCCACTGACAAAGAAATGATCAGTCTTTAATTTAAATGGTAGGTTTATTTGAACAGTGAGAGACATAACAACAAAAAATCCAGAAAAACGCATGTCAAAAATGTTATAAATTGATTTGCATTTTAATGAGGGAAATAAGTATTTGACCCCCTCTCAATCAGAAAGATTTCTGGCTCCCAGGTGTCTTTTATACAGGTAACGAGCTAAGATTAGGAGCACACTCTTCAAGGGAGTGCTCCTAATCTCAGCTTATTACCTGTATAAAAGACACCTGTCCACAGAAGCAATCAATCAATCAGATTCCAAACTCTCCACCATGGCCAAGAACAAAGAGCTCTCCAAGGATGTCAGGGACAAGATTGTAGACCTACACAAGGCTGGAATGGGTTACAAGACCATTGCCAAGCAGTTTGGTGAGAAGGTGACAACAGTTGGTGCGATTATTCGCAAATGGAAGAAACACAAAAGAACTGTCAATCTCCCTCGGCCTGGGGCTCCATGCAAGATCTCACCTAGTGGAGTTGCAATGATCATGAGAACGGTGAGGAATCAGCCCAGAACTACACGGGAGAATCTTGTCAATGATCTCAAGGCAGCTGGGACCATAGTCACCAAGAAAACAATTGGTAACACACTACGCCGTGAACGACTGAAATCCTGCAGTGCCCACAAGGTCCCCCTGCTCAAGAAAGCAAATATACATGCCCGTTTTAAGTTTGCCAATGAACATCTGAATGATTCAGAGGACAACTGGGTGAAAGTGTTGTGGTCAGATGAGACCAAAATGGAGCTCTTTGGCATCAACTCAACTCGCCGTGTTTGGAGGAGGAGGAATGCTGCCTATGACCCCAAGAACACCATCCCCACTGTCAAACATGGAGGTGGAAACATGATGCTTTGGGGGTGTTTTTCTGCCAAGGGGACAGGACAACTTCACCGCATCAAAGGGACGATGGACGGGACCATGTACCGTCAAATCTTGGGTGAGAACCTCCTTCCCTCAGCCAGGGCATTGAAGATGGGTCATGGATGGGTATTCCAGCATGACAATGACCCAAAACACATGGCCAAGGCAACAAAGGAGTGGCTCAAGAAGAAGCACATTAAGGTCCTGGAGTGGCCTAGCCAGTCTCCAGACCTTAATCCCATAGAAAATATGTGGAGGGAGCTGAAGGTTCAAGTTGCCAAACGTCAGCCTCGAAACCTTAATGACTTGGAGAAGATCTGCAAAGAGGAGTGGGACAAAATCCCTCCTGAGATGTGTGCAAACCTGGTGGCCAACTACAAGAAACGTCTGACCTCTGTGATTGCCAACAAGGGTTTTGCCACCAAGTACTAAGTTATGTTTTGCAGAGGGGTCAAATACTTATTTCCCTCAAAAATGCAAATCAATTCATAACATTTTTGACATGCGTTTTTCTGGATTTTGTTGTTGTTATTTTGTCTCTCACTGTTCAAATAAACCTACCATTAAAATTATAGACTGATCATTTCTTTGTCAGTGGGCAAACGTACAAAATCAGCAGGGGATCAAATACTTTTTTCCCTCACTGTACCACTCCAATTTCGAAGACTCTGCATGGCGTGATGTATATACGTGCAGTATTTTGATTATTTAAGTTGCTGTATAGTGTTTATCTACTGTACATATTTGATACTGAAATCAAGCATAGCTACTTTTTTGTCACGCACACGGTGCCGATCGCTGGACTAGTTACAGCTTTTGGAGCGGTTTTGCTGGTTTCACGGATCAGCCTGGGACCACCAGATGTTGGGAGCCAGATCATCGCGCGTTGGATTATAATCAATGATCAAATGTAATGAACATACAGATTTTAACCAATTGTCCATTTTGTGGAGTATCCTAACTAGCTCATAACTGCTAGCAAATAAAAACTAAATCTTGACATTTTCGTGACTGCAGGAATTCATATTCTTTGGGTCTGTTGGTAAAGCCAGAGGGATGACAGTCATCCTCTTGGCCGACAAGGGCAATGCTACTGTCATCATGGATAAAACCACGTACAGCAACAAAATCCAGGACCTTCTTAATGATGGCAGCTACACCAAAATCAACAAAGATCCTACTAACAGCCTGACTATAAAAATAAACAATATCATTACCAGTTCGACTTCTCTAGTCGAACCAGCCAAACGGCTCTCCCTAAAACCTTCTGCTGCTAGACCACCCAGATTATATGGTCTTCCTAAGATCCATAAAGAAGGCACTACACTTCGGCCCATCGTTTCCACTATCAACTCACCTACCTACAAGCTGGCCCGTTTTCTGTCTGATACCTTGCTTCCATTCACTGGCAAGACTACCTCAGCAGTACATAACTCAGCTCACTTGGTCTGCATAATCAAGGGCATTTCACTGTCCCTAGATGATTTTCTCGTCAGCTTTGATGTGTTTCTCTGTTCACCAAGGTTCCCGTGCCTGACACCTTAGCAATAATTGAAGATTTAGTCCAACATGGACTGAACCCTGATGTTCCTACTCTGGTTAGGCACTGCCTAACCAACACTTACTTCACCTGGAATGGTACTTTCTACAAACAAAATGAAGGTACCCCCATGGGTTCCCCCTTATCACCAGTGATAGCAAATGTTTTCATGGAGAAATTTGAGACATGCCATCCAGACATCCACCCTACGTCCTTCTTTGTGGAAGAGATATGTGGATGACACGTTCGTCATTTGGCCACATGGCCTACCAGCACTGAACCAATTTCTCAACCACATTAATTCCATACACCCATCCATCAAATTCACCATGGAAGTGGAGGAGGGTAAGCTACCATTCCTAGATGTTTTGTTTGAGAGGAGACCTGATGGCTCTCTGGGACACTCTGTCTCCAGGAAAGCCACCCACACAGATTCCTATCTGAAACCTGATTCCCACCAACATCCGGGACAGAAGAATTCCCTCATCAAAACACTACACCATAGGGCCCACTGCATTCCTGACCAACACCACCTAGCCAGTGAACTGGAACACGTACACCAGGCCCTTAAGATGAATGGATATTTGGACCGCATTATCCGCAAAGCTGTTTCTCCAACCATGGAGAAACAACACCCTGAGACACCGATCAAAACCATCATGTTACCATACATAGCAGGCGTTACCAAAAAGATTTCCAAAATCTTAAACAAACACAAGATCCAGGTCCGATTCAGTACAGTACAGAAAATCCGTGATCTAATCCCATCTGTGAAGGATGTCATTCCTGACAGGCAATATCCTGCACCTGTGGTGATTGTTACATTGGGGAAACGAAACGACATGTCTTGGATCATGTTCGCGAGCACAAATCAGATCTGAAACACGGAAGAACTAATTCCTCCACCGTGGCTGACCATTGTTATAACGCTGTGGGCTCTCATGATATTGTTTTTTCCGAGACCAAGGTGCTCTACAAACCTTCGGGCTAGTATCAAAGGTTTGTTCATGCAGCCATCCAGATATATAACCATAGATAAAACTTCAAACAAGAAAATGGATACAAATTTAGCAATCATTGAAAGGATGTTATTAACCAGGTAAAACCTGAGCTGCTTTATAGTTTGCCTTCATATCCGCATCTCCAGTTTCTTCAACCTACTACGTCCAGCCCCGCTTACTTTCCAGCTCTGGCAATTTTCCGTGCCCGTCCCTTCCTCGCCCTGTACCTCCCTGGCTCCTCCCCCCTTCTCTTGCCTATATATAACCTCTTGTTACAAGCAGCTCTTTTGCCCACTTCAGCAATTGTTTCTTGCTGTGGTTGTCCCACCTGATGACGGACGCCTGTTGCGCCCAAAACGTCGCGATTTAATTTATTTTCTATTTTATACCTACGTGACTTTACCGAAAGAACCAAAGAGTATGAATTCCTGCAGTCACGAAAACTTCAAATCTAGATTGAATTTGTTTGTGCTCGCTGGTTACTCTTGGAAACCACATTGTTTATGATCACCAAGTTTAGAAAGGTATTTTATATCTTCTTTGGTTCTTTCGGTAAAATCACGTAGAATGAGAATAAAATAATAAAATAAAATAACAATAAAATTCTCACGACGTTTCGGCCACAACACAAGTGGCCTTCTTCAGGTGAAAGGAACAGACCTGTCGGGACGACAGAGCCTCAATTAACGTTGTTAAGATTCGTAGCATATTTTAAGCTGGTTTAGAGAAGTGAGGCACCTTGACAAAGGGGTTCACACACCAAACAGGAGAATTTAGCATTGAAATAGCTGAGTGATTAGCTTGTGACTGGTCATAGAAATAGCTATGTTAAAGTCAAAGCTTACACATCCACAGAGGCACCTAGTACAAATCAAACAGGAGAATTTAGCATTGAAATAGCTGAGTGATTAGCTTGTGACTGGTCACAGAAATAGCTATGTTAAAGTCAAAGCCTACACATCCACAGAGGCACCTAGTACAAATCAAACAGGAGAATTTAGCATTGAAATAACTGAGTGATTAGCTTGTGACTGGTCACAGAAATTACTATGTTAAAGTCAAAGCCTACACATCCACAGAGGCACCTAGTACAATCAAACAGGATAATTTAGCATTGAAATAACTGAGAGATTAGCTTGTGACTGGTCATAGAAATAGCTATGTTAAAGTCAAAGCCTACACATCCACAGAGGCACCTAGTACAAATCAAACAGGAGAATTTAGCATTGAAATAGCCGAGTGATTAGCTTGTGACTGGTCACAGAAATGGCTATGTTAAAGTCAAAGCCTACACATCCACAAAGGCACCTAGTATAAATCAAACAGGAGAATTTAGCATTGAAATAACTGAGGGATTATTTTATATCGTTCTAGGTTAGGATATGGATTTACATGTTATCGTAGTTATTTTATATTGGCAGATTCATACATCACTCTCACGTATAATATAATTTTACACATTTTATAAATCACCTTCTCACGTACCTCTTGGGACATTGCAATGTACCCCCAGTTGAGAACCACTGAGCGTACACGAGTAAACAACTATTTAAACTATAAAAAGTATATTTTACTTTGCCAGGTAAAAGCCCACTGAGCTGTATAGCTCTGTTTCAAAAGCGACCTGGCTATCACAAATTATAGCTCAACGAAGTGGATTATCATCACGTGGAATTTACAGCAGCCAAATACTCTAAACTCCATACGACTGCAGCTAGAGACACACACACACACACCAGCAGGCATCGTCAGGGTCGGGATCGAATCCACGACCTCCTGAGTCACCTGGCTGCTCACTATTATTGGAGTCGCCCTCCAGCTCCACCTCGACTTCCGCCCAGGAGCGGTCCCCGCGTGCGTCCTGTTCCTCCAAAAGCCCTGCGTCACCGTCAGCAGCATCGCGCTCCTCCTCCTCCACTTCTTCCTCATCATTTGGGTTGATCCATGGAGGGGAGTGCAGCACGGTTAGAACGGGGCAGCAAGAAGCGAGATCAGGCAGGCCGGTAGGTTGTCAAATGGGTAGATTTATGGGTTATTTTGGCTATCCTGTAGGTATAAAATAATATGCGGAAAAATATATGAGACCTTTTTGGCACCATCCAAAATGATTGCCTTTGTATAAAGAATAGGTTTTACCCTTTCTGGCAATAAAACAGGAGGCATTCAAACAGCAAATAGATACCTTTTGCAAGGAATTATGTCTGCATTAACCACATGTATTTGTGGTGAACATGCAAGCAAACATTCTCCAAAAATATATGCAGTTCTTGAAACTGATTGGCCTACACCAGAGACAGTCTTCTTCCATGAAATCAAGGAGAGAGACAGCAAACTCCAAATATACAGCAGGCATCAGGGTCGGAATCGAACCCACAACCTTCTGTATAGGGTCGGTACCGAACCCACAACCTCTGTATAGGGTCGGTACCAAACCCACAACCTCTTATATAGGATCAGGACCAAACCCACGACCTCCTGTATATCAGGAAGCGTGCGAAGCAGAAAAATCACTGGAGAAGCCAGAGTACAGCAGCAGGAGCAGTCTGCGCTGAACGTTGTCGCAAGATGTCACATGTTTGGCACCAAGGCTCCTTAGCTGCCTTGGTGCGATGAACGAATGAATAGGTGAGATAACATCTCGCCACCAAATAATGCGTTGAGTAGTCGCTGGCTTTAAATTCCTGTCAGGTGTTGAGTATTCACTCTATGGAGTAGACTCTCAATTATCCATGCTAATGACGGGAGAACGGCCGCGGATAATTAAAAACTGCAGGTAATCCAAAAATATCCATTTTCCGCAGATCTCTACACCATAAACCATTAATATAGGTATACATTATGTTTAAGATTCTCTGCCATCACAGTTTTGGAAATTAAAACTCAAAAAATAAATGATCGGATAAATCACTCAAAACAAAGCACAACTAAGATTTTGATTGTTACACTTTAGATTTAGAACAAATACTAATGATCGACCGATCGATGCATGTGTTCAGTAATACTTTCCTGCTCCCGAGCAGAAGACTCGGCCCACTAAGTGGAGAGCAGAGCCATACCAAACAACATCTATACAACTTTAACCATAGTTGTATAGATGTGCAATTACTGTACTGTAGAGGCGATCACCAGATGGCTTTCGGATGAACCGGAATGCATATTTGTTCGGTTTAAGCACGTAACAATGTAGAACCGTGTTTAGAGTATTAATTTGAGCTAAAGGGAAAATCCAAGAGTTATTAATTTACGTCAAAATCTCAGATGCGTGGTTAATCCGCAAATCAGATTAAATACATGCGGATAATTGAGTCTACAGTAATTTAATTTGGATACTGTGAAGGCTGTGGATGGGTAAATCGCGGTCCCCACCTGAGGCTTCGCTCTTCACCTTAACTCCCAGCCACGCTGCATCGCCTGAGCTCTCCGCACAGCCGTCTGTGGCGACCACATACACACAGACTGTTGGCGCAAGTGCTGTTCGCTAGCTGCACATATGAAGCTTGGCACGGCACACGAGGGGATGGGTGGCCAACACCACGACCACTCACCATTGTCTCCCTAGTGGCGATGTTTACACACCGCACCAGGTACTCATTTGAAGCCTAGTCGACCTCGGGGAGGCCCAGGACCGGTTCAGATAATCGTCACTGATGTTGGCCGTGAGTGGACATCGAACTCGGGTCGCTGAGTTTGTAGCGCAGCGCGTTAACCACTACACGACTGCTTCCCACCACCATCAAGAGTCATACCACAGTCATTATGTGTATAACAGGAACAGGATCACCTCCATCACCATCAACAATCTTATTGAAACACATCACCGTATCACTCACCATCATCACCTTCTATCAATATGAGAATCAACAACAAGCATCGCCATCATAATATCCCACATTACCATCACCATTACAAGTGTAGTGACATCGCGGATGTCAATGTGTAATGCCGGCCATAGAGAGGCACGGCGTGCGATGTATTGACATCGTGGGCACCACGTATACGTGGGTGCAGTACCGGCCCTAGAGGGGCTCGGTGAGCACTGACTGGGAGTGCTGGATGGCACCACGCTCTGCGTGCCGACCCCTACAGGGAAGGGTATGAAAGTGCCGGCCATGGGAATGGGGTTACGAAGGGCCATGGCACTCTGGTTGACCCCGAAGGACACGTGACCGGTAAAGTCTACACAGGGCCCCCAGGTGGGGGCTAGGGGTGGTCACGTGTCAGGGCCGAGATCCTGCTCGAGGGTGCTCGAAGGTGGTCGTGGCTAAGGGCGGAGCCAGCCACACCACGGAGGATATAAGCCGGGGCCCGAGAGGTACCGGCTGCTGTAGTTATCCTGAAGAATCTACATTCTACGTCCGAGAAGAGTCACCAAAACGTGGACCTGGACCCAAGCTGTTGTACCTACTCCTGGGTGATTAGTGTAATTATCCTGGTGGTCCACCACCATATCTGGTCAAGGGGCAGTTACCCCTTTGTGTTGGTATCAATAAATGTATTGCCTCCAAAGAGTACGTCTACGAGCTCACTACACAAGCACCATCATCACCATCATCACAACCACCACCGTTACCACCCTTTACAGACTGTTGGGGGCAAGTGCTGTCAGGTTGGCATGAGGCACGAGGGGGTGGGTGGCCAGAACTAAGGGAGCCACGGTGGCGAGATGTTAACTACCTCGCCTGGTATACAGAAGGTCGTGGGTTCGATCCCGATGCTAACGCCTGTATATGATGGTGGTGATGGGGATGGTGGTGAAGCTGAGTCGACTTAGAGGAGACCTGGGACTGGTTCGCGTATTTGTCACTGATGTTGGTCGTAAGAGGGGAATCCAACTCGGGCCGCCGGGTTCGTCACGCGGTGCGCTAACCACTGCGCCACCACTCCACACAGAAACCATACATGAGCACGCGGCACAATAAACCGAGGTAAGTGGAGTGAGGGCATTGAGTGTGGTGAGTGTGGTGAATGGGGTGAGTGAGCGAAGTGCGTGAGTGTGGTGAGTGGGGCGAGTAAATGGGGTGCGTGAGCATGGTATAGTGAGTAGGGTGAGTGTGCTGAGTGGTGAGTGAGCGGGGTGCGTGAGTGTCATGAGGTGATTGCGGTGAGTGAGGTGAGTGAGTGGGGTGCATTAACATGGTATCATGAGCAGAGTGAATGTGGTGAGTGTGCTGTGCAGGGTGAATGAGCGTGGTGAGTGTGCTGAGCAGGGTGAGTGAGTGATGCACAGTATTTGGCTACAGCGTACACAAACGCTGGGTACGAGGTAAACAATCGTAATAAGTGACATTATCAGTGAGCATGGTGTAAGAGTGTGGTGAGTGTGGTGAGGGAGTGTGGTCTGTAAATGGGGTGATCGTGGTGAGTGATCGTGGTGAGTCATCGTGGTGAGTGAGTAGGGTGAGTGGTGAGTAGGCGGTGAGTGCAGGGGGAGTAGGGGCCCTCACCCTCCAGCTTCACCACCGCCTGCGCCCATGGCGTCTGCTCCTCCTGCTTCACGAGCGCCATCTCCAGCGCAGCAGCAGCTGGTGGAACCCAGGGGCACACTGCGTCCATCTCCATGGAGACCTAAACATAGAGACAGCCTCTACACCATGGAGACCTGAATGAAGAGACCGCCTCTACACCGCAGAAACCTGGACCCAGAGACAGCCTCTACACCGTGGAGACCTTGACTCCGCTCGTTGTTAATGTCGCTCCATTGCCCTTCATTGTTGTTGAAGGGTGGCTGCCTTCAACTGCCCAGTAGCATCCTTCGCGAGCATCTTCCACAGAGGCCGATATTGACACCGCTGGTGACGGTCATCGGCAAGTCCACTCAGCTCCACATCCTTCTGTACCACATCAGTCCATCTCGTATCAAGCCCATACTGCACCCGTTTAGCCCCCTCTATACGGCCAAACAGAAGCTGCTTGAGCATGCGGTGGCTGGGCATGCATGCGGGTTACATCAGAAATATACTTATACTGCAGGAGAGCTATAAAGCTATTTTTCACAGATGTCCAGTAGGGGCGGTTCATAACGTCACAACAATACAAAAACATTATAGGAGTGCAAAGTATAGGAAAGGTAAACAAATAACTTAAGAAAGGTACAAATAAAACTAAACTATGTTTTATCTTACCAGGTAAAGCCCACTGACTTATCACTTTCTATGTTTGAAGTGACCTGGCCACAAAAGATAGCTCAACGAAGTAGTTTATCACGTGGAAATTTATAGCAGCAAACTAATCTAAATAATAATATGACCCAGCCAAGGCAGCCTCGCCTGCCGGAGCTCACCGATGGGACTATGTCCTGATGTCTCAAGGAACTGTGAGCTCCTCACATTGTAATCCAGTCTGGTCAAACCCAGGATGGATCGTAGACAGGCAGGCCAGCCTGAATGTTTCAAACTGGCGCAGATGTTCCTTTGAAGGGCTACATGTTTCGCAAGCATTAGAGGATATGACTGTGGCCGAAAATACCCACACATCATATGGAGCAACAGGCCAGGTAGCTTCCATACAGCAGCATCACACAACTGATGAGAAGGCCATGCCGGTCGACTGATTTGGAGCGAGACCTCCGCTGCCAAACCAGAGCTGGTCATAAGCCACACTGGCCAGGTATGCAAACCTATCCACTCTCTCCAAAAGTGCCTCATCGCTCATGGGAAGTGCAGGGGGTGAATGGTTTGATGACCCAAAATACCCAGGCAGGTGCTTTGTTTTGGTGGGGATGATGGTATTCACAGTATCACCTCGATATGCGAATATTCGATGAACGAAGTTTCAATATGCAGGTTAACCATGCACCTGAGATTATGATGTAAATTTACAACTCTTGGATTTTCCCTAAAGCCCAAATTAATCATCTAAACACAGTAATACAATTTAACATGTAGGCTTTCGTGACCAATATCATCCATAAGAGGTCTTTAGGGTTAGATCATGTAAATATATTAATGTGTTGCTAAAACCTGCCACCACCTGACACAGCCAATTAAGTAAGGTTTGTCACGTAAACAGAACATACCAATACACACAATGGACAGTAAGGACAAGATCAAAGGACTCGCATAATGCGCATACATAATGTACATTCACTAATTAATTCCCCCCATCCACACTTTGCGCAAGAGCGCAGAAGTGTAGTTACCACATCTACGCCTCGATATAAGGAAGAAAACAGGTGGATGTCTCCACAAATCTGGCTTTCGCCTGATGAAGCTAGTTGTAATTACTGGCGAAACGTTGTACTCAGATTGTAAATGTTGTGGCTTGGCTCTCCAACACACCGGTGTGCTGTACTCGTGATGAATTGGCACGCTCTGTTTAAGTGACAACCCTTGCTTGTCGGCTGTGTTGGGTGGTAGCGGGTTTTAACGACACATTTATATATTTACGCGATCTAACCCAAAATACCTCTATTATGGACAGTAATACAACATTGTTATTCTTGGAAAGGTTTACTACAAGTCACGGGCTTAAACCGAACAAATATGTTCCTCCGGTCAATCCAAAATCCACGTGAGCGCCTCTATAGTACAGGATCTTAATATCTTTACAACAATGGGTAGCGGGGTTTGATTTATGTTGATTGGTGGGACTCTGCTATCATCCACTTCGTGGGCCGAGTCTTCTGCTGAGCTGGAGAAGTGTTATTTCTGAGCACGTGCATAGATTGGTCGATCGTTAGTATTCGTTATATATCGAAATGTTTCCTCCTTTGTTCATTACCAAACTCAATTTTCCTAACTTAATCATAATGTATACCTATATTAGTGTTTTTTGGCAAAGAGATCCACGGGAAATACAGTGAGGGAAAAAAATATTTGATCCCTTGCTGATTTTGTACGTTTGCCCACTGACAAAGAAATGATCAGTCTATAATTTAATGGTAGGTTTATATGAACAGTAAGAGACAGAATAACAACAACAAAAATCCAGAAAAACACATGTTAAGGGGACAGGATAACTTCACCGCATCAAAGGGACGATGGACGGGGCCATGTGCCGTCAAATCTTGGGTGAGAACCTCCTTCCCTCAGCCAGGGCATTGAAAATGGGTCGTGGATGGGTATTCCAGCATGACAATGACCCAAAACACACGGCCAAGGCAACAAAAGAGTGGCTCAAGAAGAAGCACATTAAGGTCCTGGAGTGGCCTAGCCAGTCTCCAGACCTTAATCCCATAGAAAATCTGTGGAGGGAGCTGAAGGTTCGAGTTGCCAAATGTCAGCCTCGAAACCTTAATGACTTGGAGAAGATCTGCAAAGAGGAGTGGGACAAAATCCCTCCTGAGATGTGTGCAAACCTGGTGGCCAACTACAAGAAACGTCTGACCTCTGTTATTGCCAACAAGGGTTTTGCCACCAAGTACTAAGTTATGTTTTGCAGAGGAGTCAAATACTTATTTCCCTCATAAAAATGCAAATCAATTGATAACATTTTTGACATGCGTTTTTCTGGATTTTGTTGTTGTTATTCTGTCTCTCAATGTTCAAATAAACCTACCATTAAAATTAGACTTATCATTTCTTTTTCAGTGGGTAAACGTACAAAATCAGCAGGGGATCAAATACTTTTTTCCCTCACTGTAGATATATTTGGATTATCCGCGATTTTTTATTATCTGAGACCATCCTCCCTGTCATTCGCGGGGATAATTCCCCTGTATAACTATGGATGTGTAGAGGAAGTTCGGGACATCCTCACACACAAACACCAAACAACCACGGGTTAAGGGTTACGGGAGCACTGCCATGCACGACACGCAATCCGAGTGAAAGACACTCTGATCGGATTGGTGCGAGAAGGAATATAACTAAGGGCGGAAAAACCCGATAAGGGGATTGGTAGAAAAGGGGGGAGACGGACTATTTAAGGGAAAGAAGTTGGAGGGTTCGAGGTTGGTTTTGGATGACGAAGTGTGGTGTGAGGTTGCCTTGAAAATAAAGATCCTTAATCAGCTCGTCTCCTCTTCAGATGTATTCCCCATTATATCCATGGTAAAAACAGAATGCATTGAAATTAGTTAATACATTTTACAATGTCCCCATCTACAGTAACTATACGAATAAGAATACAATTATGAGATGCGGCTCCTTGGAGCGTTCATTTACATTCATCTCGACCGATCAGCGTGCAGCAAGGCACCGCGTCACAGGGCTGTGGCATTTGGTAGGCAATGCAACTTCACGACTGCACCCAACGTTTTGCTGGTGAGTGTGAATATCTTTTACCCAAGGCCGTAATTATAATATGTATTGGGGGGGGGGGGGCACACACATCCCCCCCCCCCAATATTCAAATATGCTCAAAATGTCCCCCCCAATATATTGCTATAAAATTGATATCTGTTTATATGATTGTGGTTATGGTTGTACTTTATAAATCCCTTATCTCTGCCATTACATACAATGTAACAAAAGATAAAAAAAAATAAAAAAAAACAGAGCAATGTAATACAATACACTATTAGACATTATTGTAAAAAATAAATAAAAAGTCCATCCTATGTGTTAGTGAATTTATTAATATTTTAGGCAGGAAATTAGTTTTCAAATTTAGCTATTTTTTTGGGAGGGGGAGAACCCAGACCCCCTGGAAGTTTTGGTCCCCCCCAATGTTGACTCCATGGCTACGGCCTTGCTTTTACCACGTTTACTTTTTCGATTTTCAATTTTATATATTTACAATATGATCGGTGAGTTACGAAGTGTCTATATATTTATAACATCAGTTACTCATGGCAAGTTTCCATATACAAACGAAGCTCCAGGATCCACATCGTATATCGAGGTATTTAGTGGAGCCACCACCACTATTAACTAAAGTCGTTGTGTGTATAACAGGAGCATGATCACCTCCATCATCATCATTATCAACAATCTTATCTAAAGACATCACTTATCACTCACCATCATCACCATTTATCAATATGAACATCAACAACCAGCATCGCCATCACCACAACCAACATCACAATCCCTGATCACCTTGGACAAGCACCATCACCACCAAGACAGATTCCCCGAGTAGTCTGTAACAGACTCTAGGCCGGGCAAGTGCTGTTAGCGAACTGCACCAATGAAGGCCGGTACTGTGGCACACCACGCCCGGCCGCCTTTATCTCCCTTAGTGGCGATGTTTACTACACATCGCTACACCGTTACCCATTTGAGGCTGAGTCGACCTCGGGAATGCCCAGGACCAGTTCTGATGATCGATATCATCAGTTGTTGGTGGTCGTGAGCGGGAATAGAACTCGGGTGGAATGGATTCGTAAGGCAGCGTAGCGCTTACTGCTCCCTATATCATCACCGTTACCATCATCACCATCGTTACCATCACCACCGTTACCATCATCACCATCGTTATCATCACCACCGTTACCATCACCACTTACCATCACCACCGTTACCATCATCACCATCATCACCGTTACTATTGTAGTGTTGACGACCGTTTGTGTTATGGTCGAAACGTCGTGAGAATTTGTATTGTTTTATATATTTTTTATTATTTTATTGTTTCCCTTCAATGTGACTTTACCGAAAGAACTAAGAATACGAGTAGACTTCTTAGGAGGCACACTCTGTTTATTGTACTATTTCCTTATACAATCCTTAACACACACAGAGGGATATATGGTCCCCTCACCCGATACACTAGGGAGGTACAGCCTCCTAGCTGGTGTCCGAAAAGCAATCTTAGGTTTTGACGCTTCGTCGAGGGGGAGTTGCCAAAACCCCGACAGAAGGTCCAAAGTGGAGAAATAGTGTGCCCATGCCAGGGCATCCAATGACTCGTCCATACGAGGAAGAGGGTAGGCATCAGCTACCGAGATTTTATTGAGGCGCCGAAAATCAACACAAAAATGAAGACTGCCATCGTGCTTTTTAACCAGCACTATCGGAGCACCCCAGGGACTAGTGAAGGGAGAAATGATATCGGCCTCCAGCATGTCATCCACGGCCGATTTAACATGCTGTTTCTCTGCCGGGCTAAGCCGAAATGGGTTTTGGCTAATTGGGGCAGCGTCACCAGTATCAA